CCTCCCAAGCAAGGCCACACTCCATCTGACTACGACACCACACAGAGTGCATTCGTGATCATATGCATATCTTTGTGAAAATGTATGTCTTTATGTATCAACATTTGGTGTCTCTTTCGTAGTTGCCCATTTGTTTCTCTCTTCAATAGGATTGGCCAGGTGGAGCTTAAATTTATGGTCGAACCTCAAGACACAATCGATGAACTGATGACAAGGATTCACTACATAACAGGCATTCCACCTGTCCAGCAATGATTGGTATTTCATGGGAAGCAGCTTGAAAACAGCTCCACTCTGGTTGATTGTGACGTCCAGAATGAGTCTGTTCTTCAGCTGGTTTGATGTAGACTTTTGGTGGTGCGTCGCTTTCTTTCCTACAGTTATTTTACGCAGCTGAGTCCCAACTTAATCTCAATTCTCAGAGATATCCAGCTCACAGTAGAAAGGACCTCAAGGGTGTCAAGGCCTCTCTCTCCATTCTTTGAATGGGCCATTTGAACTTCATGTTTCCCAGGACATGCAAAGGCCCCGGAAGGCTTGGCGATGCACACCTCCTCTCCTTCCATTTCCTCTTCCACTCCTCTCTGCTCAAGCTTGCATGTCTCTACAATACTCTTCCACTGCTTTCTTTCCCTCTACCCTGGAAAAAAAAAATATCATTGAAGCATGCACTCCCCCCCAGGAATAATGACTTTTGTTTGCGACTCCTATAAATTATTAGCCTTTAAGTATCCCACTACCGGCATTAGGAATGCCATTCACCTCATATGCACCGCCCCGCTTCAGAGCATTAACGCGATTTCCTGCATCCAAAGTAAAGGCCATCCTCTTGAACACTTATAGCTGCATGTTTGAATGACCACACTATGGAGAATCAGAGGACACCACCTCATGCCTGGATTTCCCCCAATGCTCCATTTGTGGTACCTCCATCACTTTGCTTGTGATGACAATCCCTTTCCCCTGTTCTACAATTCCCGATCAATTTCTGTATTGCCTGTCTGTTAGAACCGGGCGGATGCAGACGACTCCGGAGTGGAATCGGAGACTTAGCGTGGAGGGACCTTGGCCTCAGCGACTCAAGCGGAGCGCTGTGCCATTGCTGTTTGTCCATTTGGTCCTTAATTTCACAGTAGGTGAGCAGGAAGTCTCTAGGGGGCATTTCAGGTCGATTTCGGACTGAACCAAAACAAGTATGTACAAGTGCCGATATATATAATGGAGGGGGCAAGCACAAGGAAAACAAAGGGTAACCAAATCGGAATGAAGACGTCCGAACGGGAACAAAGGGTAGAAGAAGCGGAGCGGTACCGAAGGTCATAAGGCAGGACCTGTGATACATCCGAAAGGAAGTAGGGAGGGCGAGGCCCAGAGGGGCAGGAGGATGAGGAGAAGTGGGGATGATGACTAACTGGCTAGAATGGGAAGAAGCAGTAGTCCAAATAGGGATGAGGGGAAAATGTGAGAGATACATTACAAGCAGCAAAAGTGCCGAAGGCGATCCGCGAAGCTCGGGGGTTGTGGAGCTTACGGAGGTTACGGAGGCAGGGTTGAAAGTCCGAGGGATATTGGCAATGGTGTTTACGTAGTATGAGGTCACCAATGCAATGGACTAAGACCAAGGTGGAGTCAAAGTCCGAGGTAGGGACTATGATGGAGGCTCGGAGCAAGGTACGAGCGGTGTCCAAGTACGAAGTATGGGACAGCGGTGGAAGGTCGTAACTTGGTGGGAGGGTGGCGGAGGAGTACCAGAGGGAGGAGAGAGGGGAAAGGTAAGGGAGGAGGAGTGGCGGAAAGGAGAGTTGTCAGGTCCGAAGGTGAGTATCGGAGCGGATGGGGGAAGCATAGGAGGGTGACGGGAGGGTGGAGGTGTTGTGAAGGAGGAGCGGAGTAGGAGGGTGGAGAAGTAGTAGGAGGGTGGCGTGGGGGGTAGAAGGAGGTGTGTTGCCAGGACCGGAGGTGAGTATCGGAACGGCAGCGGTAGGGTATGACTCCGGAGGTGAAGAGGGTGGAGGTCCGGAAGTCGGGTTGGGGTCGGGTATGCATGGATATGACACTGTCATCATTTAATCTTGCATCTCTCATATTTTGGTTTACTCAATTTTTCCACTCCAATCACAATTGGTAGGAGCTTCGGGGGGGTGTCACGAGATGCGCGCCATTCGGAAGGCTCTGAGGTTAGTTACAGCTAACATATCAATGCAAATTCCAAAGCTGTTTGGCCCAGCCTCCGCCAGTGACAACATGCTCCATTGTAAGGGTGACCAACTTTCATGTTAGTTCAGACCATTCACTGGCTTCAGCTCCTCTTGTGAAGGGAAGAATTGTCTTGCCCTCGCATTGCTGTTTTGGAATGTCCTTCTTATAGATACTGTACATTACACCCTCGTGGTGTTGTTGCTGGGAAATGCGAGTTGCTGGAGATACCGGAATGAGTTTGTTCTTCAGCTGGTCCGATGTAGATTTTTGGTGGTGTGTCAGTTTTCCCCTGGAGTCATTTTATGCAGCTTACGGTAATCTCAATTCTCAAAGACTTGGAGCTTGCAGTAGAAAGGACCTCAAAGCCTCTCTCTCCATTCTTTGAATTGGTCATTTGTGCTTTACATTGCCCTGGTCATGCAAGGGCCCCGGAAGGCCCAGCGACGCACATCTCCTCTTCTACTCTCTGCTCAAGCTTGCACATCTTTACAATACTGCTCCTACCCTAAACATCTTGTTGCTGTGGGATGAGCAAGCCATGATGATGTGCTGGTAGCACCGATATGCATATCTATGTTCATATATTTCACAGATATTATACCCCTTCCTATGATGATGATTTCATTTTAAAGTATGTAGTCGTCAGGGGACATACTTATTATGAGAAGGATGCGAAAACAAAACAGACTGGAAAAGAGGGAGAGCAAGAAAGGAAAGAAAGGAAAGGGGAAAGGAAAAGAACAGATAGAATTAAGTGATACAGTGGGAAGCACCCAGTTTTTGCGGATGAAGCGGATGGTGTGTGGGATGATTTTTGGGTGCGAAATCGAAAGTTTTGATGGATTTTTCCTTGGTGAAGGCTAGGAGGATGGCTCTTTTCAAGATTAAGCACCCATGTCCAAAGCGGCAGCAGGTGAAAAGGTAATGTTCCACCGACTCCGGCTCGTCGCACAAGTGGCAGTTGGGCGAGTCAACATGTCTCTCACCTGGCTAGATAGGCCAGCAGGGCTACATGCACTGACCGCAGCTGGAAGAGAAAGGAAGTGGTACCTCTTGACTATTGGGAGAGAGGCCACGACCTTGATGAAAGTGCCCGGCTCCTCCTTGCTGCAGTGGAAAGTGGCTTTCAGGGTGGTCAGTTTGCCCTGCTTGCAGAGTAGCTGGCGTGAAGCCGCTAGGGAGGCAAATGTGCATGCAGCATCGGGGGTACTGGGTTTGGTTGTTTTCTTGGCAAATGCATTGACCCTGAGATGTCACACTGCCCAGGAACCCACTCGAGGCGAATTCATAGGTTGAGGTGTGTGTCTTGAATGTCATTATATTCGTTCAAGATTTTGATAATGATGTGCTGGTCAGACTGATGTCCGGGTGGCTTGATGGCTGGTTGACTATCTAGGCAGATGGTGACTTTCTTGGTAACAAACCAAACTTACGGATGGGATGTGGGGGCGTGAAAGGGGGACGGGACAGTTAATAGTGTAGCGAAAACCCAGGCCAAAGTGGATGTAACATGCATGATTCAACCACCAACATTCGTGGGCCAGTGTTAGGTACGGGTCAGCAAACGGGGACGACCAGTGGGGACAAGGCTCCGGGGTTGGGCTTCGGCCTCAGCGACTCCAAGAGAGCGCTGTGCCCACCTACTGTCTCAGTGCCCACATTTCGAAGTGGCTTGGGCTGCCTTGTTAGGGGGGACAAACCATGTCGATATTCAGACTAAAGTTATAATAATGTAATATACATATATATATAGTAAGAAACTGAATGAGTCAGGTGACAAAATGAAACAAAAGGAAACAGAATAAGGGCCAGCATCTGGGTCAGAATGCATGGTCGTGACAGCCAGGCACATCGTTGTTGTCAGTTGATAAATGATGGACAGAGAGGTTGGGCAAGGGTACTGAGTTTGCAAGTAGTGGGATATGCAATTAAGAAGCGATTATATCGTGGAGTGTAACTGGTAGGGGTAATCAACATAAACCGAGATACACCAGCAACAGAGCAATTGATAGATCTTTGGTACAACAGCGTGGAAACACCTCATATGACATGAGTGGAATGCCTAAGAGTGTTTGACATCTCTGTAATAGCAGCGAGTTGCTTTTCCAGAAACACCAAATGGCACTGAACTGAATGGCCCCATTATGTAGGTGGCATGTGAAGAAGATCATACCTCGATCACAACACAACTACACCGAACAACTTGGTTAGCTGCCCTCCTCATGGATCATTGCCTAATTTTCCAGACCCAATAATATGCCACTCCCGTTGGGTTGGGAAGGATTTGCTGGAAGCAGCACCTGATGGCATCAAGAGATGGCCAAATGCCATTTCGTCCTCGTGTTCCAAAATCAGACCATTGATGTCCATTCTGAGGAATGCTTTACAAGTATGGTCTTGGGGTGGTCGAGTGCACAACAGTATGTGAAGTGACATCCTTAAAGTGAGATACAGTAACGGGAAAACATGAATTGGCAAAATGGCAAAAAAAGCTCACTGTTACAGTCAAAGGGGGTGTGGGAACGCAACAGAGAGTGCTTATATCCTAACGATTGCATGCTTGGTGGGGGTGCATCCAACTCACCAACCAACATCCCAACAACAACCTCAGTGATGCCCTCAGAAGTGATCTTACAAGTGTCTTCTTGAACAAGGACGCAACCCATCTGACTACGACACCACAGAGTACATATGCACATCTTTGTGAAAATATGTGTGTTTTATCAACATTCAGTGTCCCTTCGTGCCACCCATTTGTTTCTCTCTTCAACAGGATTGGCTGGGCAGGCCATAAATTTGCGGTCAAATCTCATGACACAATTGATGAACTGATGACAAGGATTCGCTGCAAAATGGGCATTCCACCTGACCAGCAACAATTGATATTCCATGGAAAGCAGCTTGAAAATAGGTCCACTCTGGCTGATTATGACGTCCAGAATGAGTCTGTTATTCAGCTGGTCCGATGTAGACTTTTGGTGGTGCGTCAGTTTCCCCCTACAGTTATTTTACGCAGCTGAGTCCCAGCTTACAGTAGTCTCAATTCTCAAAGGTGCAGTAGGAAAGACCTCAAGGCCTCTTCTCCATTCTTTGAACGCACATCTCCTCTCCTTCCACTCTCTGCTCAAGCTTTCATGTCTCTACAATGCTCTTCCACTGCTTTCTTTCCCCTACCCAAGAAAAAGTTACACATATTGTCACAGCATGTACTTGCTTTGCCGCTATTAGCCTTTTAATTGTGTCACCCATCATCATTCAATGATCTTGCATCTCTGATTTCATATTTTGGTTTACTCAATCAAAATCATCGGGGGGTGTGGTCAGTGCGGGGACACGGTTGTCACAAGATGTGCACCATTTGGAACGCTCTGGGGTTAGTTGCAACTACATAACATATCAACGTGAATCCCAAGATGTTTGGTCTGGCCTCTGTCAATTTTTAGGCAAGGTGCTCAATCGTATGTGTCAGCTCCTCTTGTGAAGGGAAGAATCGTCTTGCCTTTGTACTGCTGTTTTGGAATGTCATTCTGCAAATACCGTGTGTTACACCCTTGTCATTTGCTGTAGGGTTGTAGCACCAGCTCAGGGGTGTGGCTCAGTTGGCAGTAGACGTACTCTAAAGATAGAATTGTCGGTGCAAACACATGTGAATACATGTACATGTTTCGAGGTCGCTTTCCAACAGAGATACAGCCTAGAGGGATGTATTTTATTACCATGGAGAACGTGTATGTAGATGATGTGAAAAACCGAATCGACTAAAGTCTTCAGACACGTATAAAACCTACAATTATAATAAATGAGAATTACGAATATCGCTCAAAAAAGTCTCTGCAGAACGAATATCAACTGCAAGTTGCTAGCTTATGCAGTTGCTGAGATGTGGTACTCTGTGTCAGGATGTGAACTGCGTCATGTGGATAACAATGACATTAAAAACGGTGATCGCATGTCAGTGTGGACACATGACACCACCTCGAAAAGAGAGGGATAATGTCTTCAGCACAAAAACACGCTCCTACACACACACCTTAACACTCCCCACCCATTTATAAACATATCCAACCACCCCCATGGCCAAACACCAAAATTCGGGCCCAGGAGGACAACCTGACACATGCAACCTGCCAGTCTATGTAACACAAGGATGGATGGACCTAGACGCACTGCAGACTGCCATACATGGCCCGAGGGACGAGGAAATGAAGGATGACACCTGCTGGCACCATGAAGAGCTCACAGAACAAGACTACAAGGCTATCAATAACGTGTCCGAAGCGATGAAGGAGATGCTTGATAACATTAAGGTCACCATATCTATGGGCCTATGGCACCACCTGCACGGCTTTGGAGACTGGATGCACAAGCTATCACACTTAGACCCCGAGTTTAATGAACCCGATACCGCTGAGTCCAAAACCGATAATTCTAATAAAATTAGCACCATACTCGCAGAACTGACCAAATGGGTAAATACACTAGAAATAGGCCAGAACACATAATATACCCCCCACCCAGGGATCTGGTGACTGTAGCAGCCCCCATGTCAACCCCTAACGCAACCTGGGCGAACGTGATGGCAAGGCCCCCACCACTACCCAAACCAAACCCGCCAAACATCACCTCGCTGAACACACTTGAACCTGGACCATCAGCAGACCCAAGGTGCCTCATTATCCAAGTGAGCCCACCAATCAGACTGGAAGAACACCCAAACAGCATTGATATGAGAAAGAAGATAAATGACATGTTGGAGAAGAAAAACATTCCTCACTACCTGAGGGCAATGGCCATCAGCTACTCAATAGTGGGCAATATCAAGATAACCACCGCACTGACATGCAAGGCATCAGACCTCATCGCTTTCAGCCACGAGATGGTGGCCATCATCACCCAGAACGAAGTCATTTTGGTACTACCTGACCGGGAACACTACCATGTAAAGATTAACAAGATCCCCACACACAGCAACAACAAGCTGATATCGCCTGGAATGATACATGAGGAACTGTCCACATATGTACCACAGTACAAAAGCCTAAAGTACTGGAGACCACCAAAATGGCTTGGAACAGATGAAACAATTCACGCTAAGAACTTCATGTCCATTGTCCTAGACCTCTCTAACAAAAAAGACAGAGATACCATGCTGAGCCTGAAGATGGTCTACCTTTTCAACACGAGGTGCACAGTCTGTCATATCCGTGCATACCCGACCCCGACCTGACTTCCGGACCTCCACCCTCTTCACCTCTGGAGTCATAACCTACCGCTGCCATTCCGATACTCACCTTCGGTCCTGGCAACACACCTCCTCCTTACCTCTCCGACCCTATCTCCATCCGCTCCGATACTCACCTCGGACTGAACACCGCCCCTCTCGCCACCCTCCTACTACTCCGCTCCCCCTTCACAACACCTCCACCCTCCGTCATCCTCCTATGCTTCCCCCGTCCGCTCCAATACTCACCTTCGGACCTGACCACACTCCTTCCCCCTTACCTTTCTCCTCTCTCCTCCCTCTGGTACTCCTCTGCCACCCTCCCGCCAAGTTACGACCTTCCACCGCTGTCCCGTACTTCGTACTCGGACACCGCTCGTACCTTTGCTCCGAGCCTCCATCATAGTCCCTACCTCAGACTTTGACTCCACCTCGGTCTTAGTCCATTGCATTGGTGACCTCATACTACGTAAACACCATTGCCAATATCCCTCGGACTTTCAACCCCGCCTCCATAACCTCCGTAAGCTCCGCAACCCCTGAGCTTCGCGGATCGCCTTTGGCACTTTTGCCGCTTGTAATGTATCTCTCACGTTTTCCCCTCATCCCTATTTGGACTACTGCTTCTTCCCATTCTAGCCAGTTAGTCATCATCCCCACTTCTCCTCATCCTCCTGCCCCTCTGGGCCTCGCCCTCCCTACTTCCTTTCGGACGTATCACAGGTCCTGCCTTATGACCTTCGGTACCGCTCCGCTTCTTCTACCCTTTGTTCCCGTTCGGACGTCTTCGTTCCGATTCGGTTACCCTTTGTTCTCCTTGTGCTTTTGCCCCCTCCATTATATATATTGGCGCTTGTACATACTCGTTTTGGTTCAGTCCGAAATCGACCTGAAATGCCCCCTAGAGACTTCCTGCTCACCTACTGTGAAATTAAGGACCAAATGGACAAACAGCAATGGCACAGTGCTCCGCTTGAGTCACTGAGGCCAAGGTCCCTCCACGCTAAGTCTCCGATTCCACTCCGGAGTCGTCTGCATCTGCCTGGTTCTAACAATGACCACCTGCTGATCAACAGACTCTACCCACACCAGAGAAGACACACCACCCCAACCTCCCCCCCACCCCTCCCAGTCTTTGACCCAGGAAAGAAATACAAGTCAGAACCGTGAAAATGCTGAAGGAGCAGAGCTGGATCACCTTATGTAACCAGTTTCCTATGTCCAATAACGATATTAGAGTTTGTGCTGATTTGCGTACTGACCGTGTTTTGGTTGCCAAATATATAATTGTTCACTGTCTAAACAACAATAAACACCCCCAAACGATCTTACCTGACGTATAGATCGTCTATGGATCAAATTCTATATTGACTTTACTATGATTTCTAGTCAATATTACACCTAGATTTACCACTTTTCAGTAGGACGTGATTTTCCTGATAATTTACTGAAGGAAAACTACTAATAAAATAATTCCGCAATAAATGTTACTCAATACAGGAGTGACCAAACTGCTCTTTCTATCGCTTAGAGTGCGTGCTAGTTATCTAGCAGGTTCAGGATCACTCACTTTTCTCCTGTGGTGTGATAACCAAATATTACTGAGAGATTATTCAATTAAGAAGTCCCTCCACCAAATTCTCACTATGACACTTTTGTTCAGCTGTGTCTAACTGACCCTAACTCACGCTTAGAGTGACATGTTAGTTTTATATTAGCTAACAACTAATATTTGCTTTTATCTTTTGGAGCAAACGAACCAACCACTGGTGAGGAGAATTAAACTTATATTTCTACCTGAGGTTTGAGAGGGGGCAGAAGTGGTGGCCTTTTATGCTTTTCAGAGGCCTCTCTACTCCCATGCCTCGCACTAGTTACATGTGCTACATTTGTATTATAGATAGTTCTAGAATGATATAGGGGCTTGGGCTGTGTAAACTTAATAATGGACTTAGGACATGACTCAGCAATAAGTAATTCAGTTCTTTGTCTTTTGGGCCGATCTTAGCGGGGTCTTGTAGCGCTAAAGCTATGCTCTACACCGCCTTAATTATGAACAGTTACCGTTATCTTTAGAAATGACTTGGCTATAAAGGAACTTTCTAGACTGTTCTCTAATTCACCCCTTTTTGTGAAGCTGCATCATTACTAATGTTCTAGAGCTTTCCCAATTAATTAACTGATCCATGGACTTCTGAATCACTTTATGCTTATGATCCGAGATCCAGATCATCAATCATTCCTTTGTTCCGATTTATTTGAGCTTAAAATCAAAAGGTTTTGATGAATCATGGGAAAATATACAAGATCCGGTTTTTTAGCATTTTCTCCTCTTCTGATGCGATCAAAAACTGTCCGCCCACGCCGGGGAATACTCTGTCATATGGTATTCGGTCCGCCAGACTTCCGGGCGCCAATATATTTCCCTTGAGTCACATTACTTTTTGTAAGAATTAGCAAATAAATATATATGAATTATAAGGTGTTTCGCCGTTTGAGCGATATCTCCGTCAGTTTTGAAGCTTTTAGAATGAAACAAAACCGTGGATAAAGTTTAGAAACAGTCCTTTCAGATGGTAAAAAGATTACAGTCAAAAGTTTACTGGTTCCCGAGATATTCACATTTCTTTCCCAATGTTCCTTCTTATTCTGCCATCTATGTGCTATTTTCTTGTTGTAGGGATATATTCTTTGAATATTACACCTATGCCAGGTTCTAGGCATGCTTGTAGTAGATTAAATCTCATGCTACATGGGTGTGGATAATTTATAATGATCTTCTAATGTCTGTCCAGTCTCATAAAGATCATGAGATCTGTTAAACATCTGAACTCGTCACCTGATTGTTGACTATTCTGATAGATCATTGTTTTATTCTTTGAATATTATTTCTCCTACAACGGAGAGCAGAGCTTGCCAATGCAGGAAATCAACACAAACAAGGACCCATATTCTAACCAAGTGCCCCCAGACGAGTAGGCACAGACACCTACTAGGACGTGGGAACCAGACGAAGTTTAACACCCTCATGGACAAGGTGAAAGGTGTAGAGAGACTCGCATCTTTTATCAAGAAGTCCAAGACTGGCAACAAACGAAAAGCTGACGACAGCAGACACACTGCAAGGAACACTGCCCACAGCTGACCAACTCACAAAGCAGACGAAGCAGAACAGGAGACCCAGGGGACAGACAGAGGACCATAACCCCATTTCTAATTTCTATTTTCTTTTTCTTATTTCTCATTATCAACACCACGACAATACACACAGACATCACAAAACCCAAGGAACATTAACACCCGATCTCACCAACCAGAATACCCATCATTGTAGAGACATTCCCCCCATGTATGCTACAGTGTTAGGATGGGATAGCCACACTGCCACGTCATCATGAGGCCACGGGGTAATAAGATAGATTTATCATTTACCACCACCACCACCTCAATATCATAGTCTTCGCTTTATTCCCATCACTATTCATGCTATATTTACACTTTAGCCTCACTAGTACTGTCTGTTATCACCATCTACTATTAAGTCACGTTGCTTCCGCAGTCAACAACAACTAAGCACTCAACAGCATAACCTAGCATGTCTGACCCAACTTTGATGTCTAACTTGACCCAAATGGAGTCTGATGTCGCTACCGGCTCTGGAGCTAACCCCACTGCGAGTCTGGCCAATACAGATGATGAATCTACTGCAATCTTGGCTACGGAACTTCATTTGGAACAAGGTTGCAAATTGCTTGTTCGTGGACTGCCTGATACTTCCCATGCGTCAGCCTCTTGTCATCTACAGAAACTCCTTGAAGGCTTCATAGCTGAAGACCCATCCTTAATAAAAGTTACTGCCGCACCTTCTGGCACCAACCCTACCAATGCTGTTGACTATGCTTACGTCAGACTGGCCCAGGATCATGATTATGCTCTTCCTGTCCATGCAGTTCTGGGAAAGTACATCAAACTTTTGTCTGACAAAGGCTGCAAGACAGTGTGGAGCCCATGCGGCGACAGTGACAATCTGAGGATGGTAGATGTCATATACAGCAACAATAAAGATGTTTGCCCACCAAAAACCTGGGAAAATCAAGTACTCCAGTGCATTCGGGCCAAGGGTATGAAGGTAATGGTGCTGTATTGTAGTCATGGGGCGGAGCATATTACATTGGGAAAGGTTGCTCATGTGGAAACACTAGTCAAGGAAGGACTGACTATAGGGGGTCACCTTTATGATGTTGTCAAGAAGGAATGCATTCAGCTTCAGGGACCTTATGCACTGGCAATCAAAGGAGTATCCAAATACCCCACCCTTCACAATCATTTCGACAGAGCCTTGCATCGTCGTTTCAGGATGGATTTCCTAGGCTCCCACTTGGGCCTCAAGAGCAAAGATGTCTATGTGTTTTACCTATCAAACTGGGCTCTTACCGCTGAGCTTCTTAACCAACCAGCCTTCCTTATCAATGTGTTAGGTATGGGTCAGCAAACAGGGACGACTGGCGGGGACAAGGCTCCGGGGTTGGGCTTCAGCCTCAGCGACTCCAAGAGAGCGCTGTGCCCACCTACTGTCTCATTGCCCACATTTCAAAGTGGCTTGGGGCTGCCTTGTTAGGGGGACAAACCATGTCGATATTCAGACTAAAGTTATAATAATGTAATATACATATATATATATAGTAAGAAACTGAATGGGTCAGGTGACAAAATGAAACAAAAGGAAACAGAATAAGGGCCAGCATCTGGGTCAGAATGCATGGTCGTGACACAATGCGCTCAATCTATCCACAGTCCCCAAAATATCGCTTATTAAACTCCTTTACGAGTTCAACAAATCCAACCTCTTTATCAGGCATTCTGACATGGTTGGATCGGATGCCTTGGTCCTTTCCAATGCCTGTATTTCAAAGGTTAGCAATGACATCATCCAGCTTGCAGAGATGGTGAAGGAAACCCATGAGGATGCCCGTAACACCGTTAAGGCCCTAGCTGAGCGTATGTTGTCACAGGACCGTTCAATTGCTATGCTGGAATCAACGGTGGCTGAAAATACCAAAACTAACCAGATCTTGGCAACCTCTTGTCTTGGCCTTACCCTCACAGTTGGCGAGCAGTCCCAAGCAACCTGAATTCTGGAGGATATGGAGTTCCTGCACACGCAATGGGCTGCCACAACTGACTTATCGGCTGAGAAGGAGATTGAGCAAGAACTAAATGCACTGAAGGAGAAGAGAAGGAGAGTCAATGACAAGATCGCCCAAAAGAATGAGGACAACGCTGCCATTCTCAACTCCGCTCTCAGTGCTATGGTCCCATGCACTGATGTTTCAGCCTTGTCATCTTCCTCTCGCATACCAGCTCCCGATTCTGATGCCTCGAATGGTTGATCCAGGAAGCACACACATCTTGCATTGGAAAGTGAGGGAGACGCTACTTCATTTTCACCTGTTGATGAGGATACCCCAATGGTAAGCCTTCTCTTGCATCTCGGTCACATTATTCACATTCTTGATGGTGTGTTGCTTATGTTAACCAAAATGTCCTCTGCTTTGATGGCTCCTCGGAAATTCCTATCAGGCACCCTTCCTGCAGCTTTGAGTGACTCTGCACTCATTCCTATTGAGGGAGACCCTGGGGAGATGAGGGCAAAGCCAAGTCTTTTCAAAAATCTTGCAAAACCAGTGTCTTTTTTCCATGTTGTATCCTGTCCCACTCCTTTCTCTGATTCGTCTTCTGGCCTGTTGTTTGCAACACATCCTGTGCGTTTTTCTTCCACTTTTTGCGGCTTGAATAGGAGCTGCCATTTTCTATTTTGGGCTTTGGGGATTTTTGTGTGCGTCTTTGTTCCGCTTGTTGGGGCCACACCGCTTGGGGGTTTTAGTGTGCTCTCTGCAAACCTTAATGGTTTCGGAAATGCATACAAATTGTCTTTGGCCTCTTTGGCTGTACAGACACACCGCCCTAGCGCTTTTGTTATGAATGAAACTAAGTCTACTAACCCTTGTGCACACCTGCTGGATGTGCCAGAATATGTGTTATATGAAAGTGTGGGAGTGCCGTCAGGACCTCGGACTGGGAAGTGGGGCATTGTTCTAGGCATTCGCCGAGGTATTCAGATTATGCGCCAAATTGAGGCCCCATTACACCTACAAGGACGGTTAGTTGCGATAGACATTGTGGTACCATTGGGAAATTCCCGCCCTTTCTGTCTTTGGCTCATTGGTCTTTATGCTCCCTGGGATTCTGGTGGTCTGCAAGCTGCAGGTTTCTGGGCTAGTGTGGCTGAGGTTGCCTCTGCCCAGCCTTCCCCAAATGGTTCCATTCTGGTAGGAGATTGTAATGTTACTCTGCGCCCATGTGAACATTCTACGCATGTGACACCGGATGCAACCCACTATCGGAATTTTCTGCATTCTACAGGGGCTAATGACCTGTGGTTGCTACAGGGGGGCTTTTCTCTACATCGGGACTACACCCTAAAGAGTTACAATGGTGGAAATTTGTCAACGGTGGACCAGGCAGCTGTTATCTCCCCCTCCCCATATTCAGCGCTGATTCACGCCCTGCCAGACTTTCTAGGCAATACTGATCACCGAGCAATTTTAGTACACACATCATTTGATTCTTTCCATCAGAATGGCTCCGGTTCTCATCCACCAGACCCCACCCTTCTCATCACTCCTCCCTCCCTCCCTCCTCCTCGGTTGCAGTACCCAGGTCATGGCAAAAAGGACAAATATCATCTATTTGCTGATGAGGTGGATGCAGCCCTTGCGTTATGGAACAAGAGGTGAATTTGATCAATGTTTTTATGTCCCAATATGGCATTGTGTCCCAAGCTCTGCTCGCTGCTGGTGACAATGTCTTTGGACATTGGCACCATTACACTTGCCCTCATGTCATCCACCCACCTACCAGGGAAATTCAGCAACTGAATCGGAATATCAAGGCGATTGGCAGTCTGATTTTTCGTCTTCGCTCAGGCCCATTGTTGCCCCTCCATTTCCTCCCATACTGTGTCTGGGAAATGGCTCGGATGATTCCCCCAAATTCAAGTCCGCAGAATGCCACTCAGTTTTTACATGCCCAGAGGAAGAGGTTCTGCAAGGAACGATACTGGCTCATGAACCGTTTGGCCTATGAGAGGGCTGTTTCTCATGAGAATGGTCGCTTCAATGCGGTCCTATGTGGTCAATCTGCGAAGTCGCTGATCCCACATTGTGTTTTTGCTGATCTACCAATGGTTCTGGAAGACCCTCAGACTGGTGAACTGGTGTCTTCCCCCGATGAAGTTAAGGCAGCAACATCTTTCTATTTCCAATAGCTTTACCAACACCCTCCTCCACCCCCTTTTTCCGCTAAGCCTTGGTTGCAGTGCTCTTCCGTGACCGCAATTCGTGACACTGTAACTTCTCACCCCTTCCCTTGGCCAGCTACCCTCTCGTTAGTGCAACTCCGGTCTCTGCTATGTCGAGGTAATCCACAGCCATCTCCTGGTCCGGATGGGTGGGAGAAATGGTGTGTCAAAGCACTGTCGGATGCCGCTTTAGGGGTTGTGCTGCACCTGGTGAACTTTGAAATCATTGACTCTACCATCCCTGATGCTCTTTTGGATACGACTTTACTCACTATTCATAAATGAGGTCTATCCACACAGCTGGCCAACAAACGTGGAGTGATGCTATCAAATTTCTTAGCGAATCTCCCATTTAGCTGGCTCAGTCTTTGTCTCAACCAATATAATGCAGTACACTCTTTGGTACCAGAGACACAAATCACGACCCAACAGGGTGTTCAGGGCCATGATCTCGTTAGTTTTCTTGCTCAGGTCGAGTCATGGTCATGCCGGTCACATGTCCCCTTGTTCATGCTGAAGAGGAATCAGCAAAAGGGTTTTGACTTTCTTTCACCATCTGGGTTTCACAATGCTGTGAGGGCCTATGGCCTTCCAGATGACATTATTCAACTGGATACATCAGCTCAGAATAATGTTCGTTGTGTCATATGGACAGCATATGGCGATACCACACCAATTGTGATTAATGGTGTAACAAAACAAGGTGGCCCTTTATCTCCCTTAAAGTCTGCCCTCACCACAAGTCTTGGACATCATTGGATTTCAGAGACTGCTGGGGTTGATATTGCCTCCCTTCGCTCTCGCGCTCTGGATCCCCATCTCCCATCCGACTCTTTGAACATTCGACTGACCATGGTCGAAGCTACCAATGATTCTCTCCTCTTCGCACCATCGCTCCCAGTACTACAGGAGATTTGTCTGAAGATGGAAAAGTTTCAAGCCGCATATGGTTGGCTTACAGCATGGAACAAGTCAGAGGTGGTTATCCTTAATAGTTCTCAACCTATTCCGAATTCAGTCTCCCTCCCGTCCATCAATCCAACAGACCCACTATCAGATAATATCCAGTTTCATGACGTTCCCACCTGTACTGATCACATCAACTTCCTAAAAGTCCCCATTAATGACCCGACATCCCACTTCAAATTCCTCTCTTCCTTAATCTCCAACTTTAAGTTCCCCAAATGCAATCCCCCAATTACTGTTCTCAGAAAAATCATAAACCAGGTTCTAATATCAAAAATCCGGGCTCATCTTTCTCTCCACCAAGTTTCACCCACTTCAGCTAATTCTCTTCAATCACAAATCTCTTTACTTCTGCACTCCCAACTGCCATTTCCATTTCCACCTTCACTGGACATTGTATGCCTCCTGACTTCCAATTTTGGGTTAGGAATAACCTCAATACGGCACCTCAACAAATCCTTGGCCCTTTGTGGCCTTCTTCGTGATCTGAATCACCACATTCCTGTCTTTCGAAAAATGGCTTTGATTTCTATGGCTGATTGGCAGTGTGCCTATTGTCATTGTATTTTCCCTCTGTCTTCTGCTGGTCTATCTTACAACTTTGCATCCCATCACTGCTCATTGCCTTTTCATTTCACCCTGGCACAACGCACTCTGAAGGACCTGGGTCTACAGGTACACCCTTCGGATCAATCTTACCTGGTATCTGGTAACGTTTCATTATCACACATTGCAAACCTTGCCCCTTCAGCCCCTCATTCATCTATCCTCCATGTCTATTGCAGTACCCCTTTTGCATGGCTCTCTAGTTGGGGTGTCTGGCGATATTCAGGACTTTCATCACTTCCTCATGTTTTTCTCCCAAATGTCCCCAATCCTTTTCGTCAGTTTGATCCCCAGAACTATAACTTTACTACAGTGACAGCTTGGTTATCATCACTCAACCTCTGGCATCTGTCAATTGGGCCTTCGGAGTTCACTGTCCCCCAGGATGAGCGCCAAGTGTCAGCTGAAGAGTGTATTTGTGCAGCTGCCCGGACTTTTGGCCAGCAGTCTTTGATGGAGTTTTCAAGTGACAACTGTTGGGCCACTGATGGTTCAGCTCTTCATGGTTTGTACCCTTCAATATCTTGTGCAGTGGTGGGTCCTCTGTCATTATCACTTCGGATCGCTGGGTGTGATGGTTCAAGCCTCCATGGTGAGGTGATGGCTCTTATTATGGTGGCCGTCTTGTCACACCCCACTCCCACTGCCGTTGTGGTTTTCTCCGATCATCTGCACTTGATCTGTTTAATACAAGATATTCGTGCAGGCACATTGCCTCCAAATTTTTGGTCATACAAGCCTGCTCGACCTTGGTATCGGTGGTTGGAACAAATTGTGGCAAACAACCAGAATTTCTCCATCTATCATGTGAAGGCTCATACTCAGGAGCTTGATGTCACTTTGAGGTTGAACAATGCTGCTGATCACTTGGCAGCTCAAGCTCATTTCAACCTGTTGCAGTCACCACTGGCTCCCCTACCTTCATTTTCGATGGATGACTTTGTGGCGTGGCATCCAGGTTGTGGCTATGTTGATTCAAACCTGCTCTCTTATTTCTCATCTCGGTTTGTGTCAATGTCCCACCATGCATTAGGGACACTCACAGTAGCCAAAACTACAAGAAAAGACACACAAGAGTTCCGAAAACTGAGACTTTCCCAGGAACTTTTGACCCAGACTTTTGTCACACTTTTGAGTACTGTATGAGGGCATTCACAGTCACCGTGCCAAAAGACTTACCAAAACAGCCTCTCATTAAGCCTGAGGTCACGATGATTTCAATGGATTATGTAAATAACTGCACAGCACTTGATGTCCCCTATCCATGAGCAAGAGCACTTAATCCGTGCTGCTCTAAAACATGCATCTAATCTCCGAGCTCAATACCGGTGTCAACAACGTGGCCTTCTCCGTCTAAGTAGTTCCATAGGTGAACTGACTGATCCATCCATTTCTGATCCAGAAGATAGTGATGAGTCTTCTACATCTGACACCGACAGTACAAGTACAACTTCTAGCAGCAGCAGCAGCAGCACCCAATCTACTGTTGGAGTGCAGCGCGCATTCCGGAGGTTTCTGACCAGGTGACTTTCACCTGACCTGTAAATGAATACTTTTCCCTTTTCTATTATCACGGAATTATCCGCTACCGACTATATGGACATACCCGCTCTTTCTATTCATTTCCTTTTTCCTCAGTTCTCCACGCTATTCAGCTTGAGACTGAGGTCAGTACTACTTTCTTTCTTTCTGATTTCCCTTCATATCTAAATGTGTATTATCTTTAGTTAAACTACGCTAGGTAATGTCAACCAGTTCTCCACGCTATTCAGCTTGAGACTGAGTTAAACTATGCTAGTATTTTCACAGGTTATGAGCCCAGCGCTCTAAATCTCTCAAGTAACAGCTGAACTTAGAACTCAAATTATTTTCCCACAATGGATAAAGCATCCATGGACCGAATCACCAAAAAGCATTTTGATGCTGAATCCCTGAAGAAGGACAGGTCAAATTGGGGATTTTGGAAATACTGGATGGAGCTGATTCTAAAGAAGCAGAAGCTCTTTACACTTGTGGAAGGAGGGGAGGAGTGGTGGTGTAGTGGTAACACCTGCCAATCTACTCTCTCGCTGGCGTTTGCCGATTGAGAGGACGTTGGTTCGACTCACCTGTTGGGAGGTCGCGGTTCTCCAAAGTCTCAAGAGGCATGTGTTTATGCATCGGGCCAACAAGCCGAGGAGCCGGTCTCATGATCACTTGATCACCAACTTCTCCACTACCGATTACATTGAGTATAGAAAAGGTTCATACCATATGACTAAGTCTTCTATTCACTACCCGAAAGGGGCCTCTCATGGGCACAACCGGCCAGGAGTTAGGAGTTCAATTGGCATGGACCCAGACGTTCTATAGGGAATCACTCGCAGCATAATAGGCTCATGTGATACGGTCTACCACTGTCACAATTCAGAAGAATTTGGATTGTTCAGTCACGAATCTGGGCATTGGCGAACGATGTTGGTGTTATCCGGGAGCTTAGAATCATGTGGAACTTGAGTATAGAAACATGTATGATAATATGCCTTGGGCCTCGCCCCTTCCCCTTGGCGCCCTAATGGGCAGCCTCTATGGGAAGTAAAATATCGAGAATTACACACACACACTTGTGGAAGGGAACAAATCGCGACCGGACCCAAATGATGCAGCAAATACAACAGCCCCATCAAAGACCCAACTATCTCTGCTTGATCAATGGGATGAGGACAATGACACTGCTCTGCTGCTAATGGTCATGTCCCTTGATGACCAAGTTGGAACCCTTATTCATGTCAGAAACTATGTTCGAGGGGATCGCGGGAAGTGGGGCGGAGTACGGCGGCGTAAGTGGTCACTTAGCTAATGAGCTACTCCGTTGCAAGGCGTCGAGGGGGTTGGGACTTCGGCTTCAACGACTTTGCCAGAGCGTTGCGCAACGCGTTCTAGGCTGTCCCGTATTTCACGTTAGCGGGAAAGACCTTGCGGCGACGTTGACTTAAGCGGGATGAAGTTGAGGGGCGAACTTAAGATGAAAGTACTTGGGGGGGGGAATTCTAGTCGATATTCGAACTGAGGTACATCGACAGTAAACTACAAGTATAAATAGGAAAGGAGAACAGAGAAGGGACCGGTCGGTCCGGCGCGGGACGGGAACGAGATGATAAGTACGACAGAACTAAAGAGCAATGAGGACCAGGGTAATGGAACAGAAGAGATGAATGGAACAGAGAACGGCGAAGTTGGGAGGCAGAAAGGATAAGCCGACAATCTAGGCGCGCGGATCAGAATGTCAATATACGTATAAATCAAATATCAATAAAGGAATAATCAATTGTCAATAAGGAATGTCCATAAGGAGCGGATCAACGGCGACCATAACAACCGCTAGTTAGTTAAGCGAGTGAATAGAATAAAACGATACCGGCCGAATGGTTGAGGAACCCAAGTGGTGGCGGGAAAACGAAGGAGGCGCTGCTACGGGGCCGTAGAACGGGAACCACTATCGGCGCCGCTAAGTGATGGGCAATGGTGAGATTAACGGGCGCGAGTAACGGCGTAAGAATGGGGGTGCAGAAAGTGGTAGAGGGGCGGGGACTTTGCGGGGCCGTGACAATTCAAGGGAAAACATCAGGTTTGGAGCCGACTAAAGAATTACTTTGATGGGATGGGCGTTCAGTCCACGGTGTTCCTGATGGGGAGAGTTTGGCAGACCAAATTCTCAACTGAAAAAGAACTCTTACCCCAAATCCATGATATCCTCAAGATGATCAATCGTCTCGATTCCCTTGGTTACGGACTAAAAGAGGAAGTTCAAGTCATGGCAATCATCCTAGCCTTACCCCTCGAATACAAAACTCTCCGTACCATCCTCTGCACTCATGACAAACTTCCGACTCTGCAGGGAACAATTGACACTGTAAGGCAATACGAAAATCAAGAAGAGGAGGAAAGAGAAAATGCCTACTTGAGTCATGGGAGAAAATCCACGAAGCCTTCCCCAAAAAGCTCTGGAAGACCGAAATGCTCAAACTGTAAAAGATTTGGACATACAGTAGAGAGATGCTGGGCTGAGGGAGGAGGAGCTGAAGGATCTGGTCCAAAGACACCAAAACTGAAGCCTAAAGGCCGAAAAGATGGTGGAAAGAACGAGCAGACAGCCAAGACAGCAAGGGAAGATGAGGAATCTGTCTCTGACTTCAAGGCCTATACCATGCACTCGGATGAGGACCTCTTCCTCACACGTAAATTCTCGGATTCTCCCATACACCCTTATTTCATTGTTGACTCAGGAGCATCATCACATATGACAAATGACTCCTCTCACTTCTCCTCATTCCATACTCTCCAACCTCCGACACGCATATGGGTCACAGATAATCGCACTATCGAGGCCCGTGGCATGGGCAACATTGTCGGAAAGATTAGACTAAGCGGAAAAGAGCAATCAGTGATCTTCTGCGATGTCTTATACACACCACAAATCAGTGACCCACTCCTTTCAACTACAAAGTTGAGTGAGGATGGAATCAATGTGTATTTTGACCGACATGGGGCAACCTTGATGCGTGCAAGCAATAGTCAGACATTGGCAAAGGCCCCATGGAGCCAAAACCTGTGCCGACTCTGCATTGACATCACCAAGCCTGAACTTGCCCACATAGCCATTGTTACTAAGGTCAACTCAAATGGACATGCTCTTCTGACACAGTTGTCACCAACATCAAGAGCAACCTTGACACTATGGCACCGCAGATTGGGTCACATAGATGAAGATACCATATGAACCATGGTCAAATATGGGTCAGCTAATGGGATTCAAATAACAAGCAGTGAGTCTATCCTATGTACCACATGCCTGAAGGGAAAGAAAACCCGAGCAATCATTCCCCATGCGACCAAAGAACATGCCACAGAGGTTCTAGGCAGAGTCTTCAGCGACATCTGTGGCCCCATCGAGCACCCGACAAAGGAGGGCCACCGCTACTTCATTACCTTTAGAGCCGATACACCACCATCATGACTTGTGTGTTGAAGGACAAAGCACTTGACGCTTTCAAGTTCTGGAAATGTTACGGATACAGAGTCTCCAACGACCATATCCATCGCATGGTCAAAGACTTCCCTTCTCTATCGCTCCTCCCCTCTTCCTCCTTTCCATCCTCTATCCCGCTACCCTATCCTCCTTACCCGTTCTACCCCTTTCCCCCCCCCCTCGTGCAAAGCTTTCCCCATTGGGGTTTTGGTGCTGGCTGAGGTTGTTTGTGTTTCGCGGGATTTCCCACGACCTTACCATTTGTAGATAGTCACGCGTCATGTACGGAAACCACCGAAGGCGGTTCCCGCTAACTAACAACTGCTCTACAACTGTCTTGTGTACCGTCTTCTGTAACAACCCTCCCTGTGACTCAACTGAACCCATGTGACTGTACAACTCTCAATATGTCTTATAAGTCTGGTTATATCGAGTCCTCTAACGGCCCTCGCCGCGAGAACTCGAGGTCGAGAGTCGAAGACTCTCGACAGGTGTATCGTCCTACTGAATCTGTACCCTATGGGTCTTCATCACTCCGCTCTCCCCCCAGTACTCAACATACGACGTCACCTCACGATCTTGGAGATCGTGAATACTTTGAGGCCCATCTTCCCGTGATGCCGGCACGTTCGCTACGTGAACGCCAAGTCGCCGCCCATCCACCGTCTGTTCCCTCCTTCGCCAGTCATCATGTTTCCCCGCCAACGGTACGTTCCCTTTGGGAACGCCAAGTCACCAAAGGCCCTACTAGTCAGTCCTCATTGCACGCTTATGACATCAACCCGCTACCGGTACGTTCGCACTGCGAACGCCAAGTACCCGATAGCAACTATATGAAGTTCTCACCCATCTCACAAGTCGCGACCTCGCACACGGTACGCTCCATTGAGGAGCGCCAAGTACCCGTGGCTGACCCGTCCGTCCTGGCATCTCCGACTACCTACCATCAATCCCTTAATAGCTCACTACATCACCAATCGCGATCGATGGAAACTCGATCGTCCACCCCCAGGCAAGACTGGGATCACTCATCGATTACATATCCTGTTATGGTACAGACCAGATATGACCTCACTCATCCCACTATAAGAACGGATCGAGGAATGGGGAATTTCCCCCATCCCCGTAGCAGGAAAGC